GCGGGTTGATAGAAACCCATAGACACAAACACACATGCGGACACACACACACACACACACACACAGAGCCCGAGGGGCAGAGCGCTGCATGTCGGCAGTGTCTGTATCTCGCACACATGAATAAGCTTCATTGAGTGGGGCTCTATTGATGCAGAGCCATGAGAAAGTAGGGCATTACAGAGTCCCTCATTCTGCAGCATGCACCCCAACAGCACACGCATGAAACTGCAGAGTCAGATGTACCGCTCTGTTATGTTCTCTCACACACACACACCCACATACACACACACACACACACACACACACACACACACGCAGAGTAAAGTCGTTTTCTCAACAGCCTCCATTGATTGTGTTGAGGTGCTCTCAGACGGACATCACCGTGGTGACCAATCTGACTTTTAATCAACAAGACTTGACCTCAGCATTAATCGGCCCTCCAATACAGTCTAGTCGGGTCGCTCACAGTGGGCTACTGAAAGGGTGACTGGGCTGTCTTTTTGTCAACACATGCTTCAAAGAACAAGGGCTAGAAGCTTAAAGGATTTTTGGTTTTATAGATTTGAACTTCAAAATGAACTCAAGATTAGACCCGAAATAAATCGTTTGAAATAGATATTGATTTTAAACAGAAAGGCCAAACATCCTGTGGTTCCAGGCTCTCCAATATGAGGATTTGCTGCTTTTCTTTTTATTGTGTGATAATTTTGGACTGTTAGTTGGACAATTAGATGACATCCCCTTATGCTGTAGGAGATCTATAAAGGCATGTTGCACTTTTTTCTTACATTCTTAGACCGTCATTAATGAATAATTAACCAAAGTACCAAAAATAATTTGCTCTTATCGAGATATAGATCGATTCACTGCTGTGTAGCATCAATGACGGACAGTAGCCAAACGGCTATTTATTTATACAAAAGTGTTTGTGATTATTACTCTAAATTGTCATTTATGGACAAAAACATAACAAGTGAGGAGAAGTACTGAATGTGAAGGAGTTCGAGGGAGAAAACACTGCAGCACCATCTTTAAAGTGTGGCTTTGTCAGACAACAACTGAGCAGAAAATGAGAAGGAGATAATAAGATGCTGTGTTCCAGGGCTGCGCTGTATTAAGAGCTGTACTGGGAGCACTCGAGTCTGTGGCATTTCTCTCTCCTCTCTGTCCTTTTGAACAGCCAAATGAACAGAGGCAACATATCCCAGGAGAGCAGAGGGGATCCATCTCTGACAGAACTCACCTTCTGTTATCCTATCGCCCAGAGAGAGGAGGAGGAGGAGGAGGAAGAGGACGAGGACGAGGGACAGAGGCTCAAGGCAAATTAAAACCAAAGTCGGACAAAAGAATTTCAATAAAAGATACAGAAAGAGGAAGTAATGAATTTGTTAAGTAAATGTCACATTCAGCAGCAATAGTTCAAGGTTAAATATATAGTTTGACATCTTGTGAAAAGAGATTTCAGTGTGAAGCTCGATACCTCCGTCATATGATGCTAGGTCGAGCAGAGTGTTAGCTTAGCTTAGCATAAAGACTGGAAACCGGGGGTTAGCTCTGGCTCTGCACTTAAGTCTTCGTATGAATTAAACAAAAAAAACATATACTGCGTTGATTAGTGCGCTTTAGAGATGCCGGTCGGCATAAACGTATTATCAAGTTCATCCCCTGATGCAATCTGCTAAATATGTCTGCAATTACCTCTTGGGGCTTGTAGGATCTATTTATAGGGACCTACTTTATTTTATGCATGTGGTTTTGATAGGGTAGAGGCAAATTTGATTATTATCAAATATCTATTCATTGATGAAGTGTTTGCCGGTTGGCATTTTGTGACGCCTTGCTGCATTTATTATGGAGATTTGTCTTTATTTACAAATGCAGATTTCTTTCATTTTTATTGGGATCTGACCATTTAATGTAAGCTTTTTCTGGCCATATTTATGATTGCTACTAAACAGTGTTTTAGAGCTCCATATATGATATTAGTGATTGCCATATAGTTTGGTATTTATACCTTGCTTTTGCATGTCAGGTATGAAATGGGTGATTGGTTGCAGCCAATACCTATTTAATGAGATCTAGTTTCGATACAACGCATACAAATGTACGTTTGCAAGTTAGACAGTGTGCGGGATTTTGTTTGCAAAGCAGATTTAGTTACCTTTAGACAGAGCAGCCGTCCCTGCAGTCTTTATGCTAAGCTAAGCTAACGGCTACTGGCTGTAGCTTAATATTCAGCACACAGACATGGTGGTATCAAGTCTTTTTAAATGTCCCTTCTCCTTTTAAGTTGATTTCTGTGTAGGGAATAAGATTTTTAGTTACTTTGAGCTCATTGCGATGCTTTAAATCAGCTTGCTTTTTCTTGGACTTGCCGTTCTTATGTGAGAGTACTTTAGGTCTTTGCTTGTCCTGACCTATGACCTGAGACATATTTTGGACAGGACAAATTGTCCCCTACCTGTTATTGAAGACAAAATCCAATTTCATCTCTGAGTTAACCCTTACTGCACTCCATCACCTTCAGCATCAGCACCCCCCCCCCAACACAAACAGACGCTCTCTCGTATCAGGTTTTCTTATGACATTGAAACAGCGGCTGACCTTTACGCCAAACCAGTAGTCTCCCCCTCTCTCTATCACACACCACATAGTCAACACAAATAAAATACACACCCACGTCTAATTTAGGTCTTGACATGGAGGTGTTAACAGGCGTGAAGGGAGTGTGACTTCCTGTTTACAGTAACGTGACCAAACATCATGAGTAAAGCAGTAAAGTCCAGCTGCTCGAACACTGCCGTCATGTATCTATTCATGGACCAACAGATGAAAGCAAGCCTCAACAATGCACCACGGTGACAACATGTCAAAAATAATGATGTACCGGTTTCATTCCCTTCTGTCCTCTGAAATGCTGCCAGCTTCCATGTCTCTCTACCACCAGCCAGCAATGATATCAGACTGGCAACAATTCCAGAGAGCCAGGGGATTACCAGGTGATATTATCCCATTTGCTGTGTGAAAGACACAATATGAGGAGGTGTCATGCTGCTGTTAATATACACTGACATCTAGATTGAAGAGAAAGGCGAATATTGCTCGACTGACATGCGTGCTGTACGCTCATCGAAAACATCAAATAGATCAGTCGATCCACGCGGGGAAGCATCATACGACTTGTAGATCAAGCGCACCTGCTGACGGCAGACTGACACGCAGCCAAGAGCTCATCCGGCATTGAAATGTAAACCAGTCCACACTCAAGACGGGCTATGCAGCTCTTTGCAACTTAAGTGAAAACCACGGCAGGGCTTTAAAGAGAGGAGGAAGCTTGCAAACAAGATAACAGCTGTAAGAACAGCAGCTTCGGGTTATAGATGGCTGCAAAACGATGAACCCTTGTTGACGTTTAGGTAGGTGGAAGCAGTTTGGAGCTGCGGGAAATCGTAATGGCGGACAGCCAATTTGCCTTCGGCATGGAGAGATCATTTGCATTGCAATTGCCAGCATACAAACTACTGAGACAGACCATACTGCTTTGATGTTGACATTCAGTGTCCTGCTGAGATTTGTGCAGGTGTTTCCCTTCTGCACATGCGCACACACTGCAATCAATCTTAGTGATAGTCGGAGACGTGTTGCCTAAATGAAAAACCACACGCGCCTTCTGCTTCATATTTAAATGAAACGCATCAGCCACAGCATCTTCTGGCATTTTCATGCTCGCAGGCACATGTGGACGCACGCGCACGCCGCCTGTTTCCTCTGATTGGCTGAGTCTGAGGTGACAGACTTAACTGTATGCCGGCGGTGTGCATGTGTGCATACAGTATGCGTGCGCCTGGCGGACCCTCTGTTGCGAGGAAGGGGGTTAGAGCCAGAGGAGGTGATTGGCTGGTGAGGAGTCACAGCATCAGCACATCCTTAACCCACTGCCCTTCTTACCTCCCCCCATCCTCCCCCTTCCCCCCTCCCTGCGAGCATACTGTGGGGAGAACACACATGCACTTACACATCACCTATAGAATCTCTCTCCAACCCACCCCCCCCCTTCTTAAATGTTAAAGAGGGCGCAGAATAATGGGGCTGTCAATATCGTGTTGCGACAGATCATCCACTGAAAGGTAAAATGGGTTTAAAAGGTCAGGAATCTGCCTCAGAAACGACGGAGGAATTAATTCCAAGCGTCGCTTCACACACACAGGGAACCTGAAACACGACCATGGCCATGCCTTTTGCTCTCGAGGACTACCCGATTTAGAAGTGAATAAAATGTGTATAAAATGACTGCAGAATGCAGTTTCTCAATCTACACCTCGAACGTAATGTGGAATATGGACACGTTCCAAAAAGATCGAGGCGACGTGGTGCGTAAAAGGCGCAACCGTGCGGTTTCTCTCTTCTCATTCTCGATTTAGTGAAACCAGCCATCACTGTCTCTCCCTCAACGACAGAGGGGATGAGAGGCGTGTAAATGCATTGTGTCAAAGTCGGAGTGTGAAGAGCAACATTATTAAACCAGACAGCTTTTGTGTCGCTTTTGACGCCCCTTCTATTCTCGCCTCAGCCATGAGCCAGCAGGTATCAGCGTTGCAGAGGACAAAGAGACATCAATAAGCCAGAGACACGGACTGTTTAATGGAGGATGATGGGGTTCGCTGTAAAATATGGGGCCATGTTACTGACGCCTTTGCAAAGACAAGGACGGAGCATCGAAAACATCACAGATGAGCTGCAGTTTTAACTGATCCAGATAATGGAACTCAATATATACAGCACGTGTAAACTCTGCCAAGCAGAGCGGGTATTAACAAATGAAATATGTTAAGTGCGTTTAAATTTGATATACGGTTGAGTTTAAGTCATTTTAGGACCCTTGTCCCCGTGTGTCATTCTGTCCACCTGTCTCCCGAGACGTCCATATGATTTTGAAGGTGTCGGTGACAAGTGCGCCTACTAACGAACCTTACGTGATTTAAGATGTATGATCCGCTCACCTCACAGTCATACAACTCGCTGAGCTGCTCGATGATCCACTCCTCCAGGACGAGTCTTTTCCGCAGCTCCTTCCTGTCGTACTTCACCGTCACTTTGCCCTGTCTCTTCTGGACCGGGTCGTCGCCGGCGGTGATGGGGCCGGACCCCACGCAGCCAACTCCGGGCGCACCTTGGAAGAAGACGCGGCTGCCGGCGGTCGGCAGCGGGGCGCTGGTCTCGGTGCTGGCGGCCGACATTGCGGGATGTTTTCGGGCTTATTATTTAAGAAATATGTGACTGAGTTCGGGGGACCGCTGTGCTGAAGGGAGACTGCGAGCTGCACATCAGACAGGAGAATGGTGGGGAGCTTTTAAACAGCTGCTATTTAAAGCGCAGCGCCGGAGACAGCCGAGAAGGCGGAGCGTACGCTGCAAGAAATGAGCATTTGAGGCGCTTGTCTGGTGTTAAAAATAAGATCTATTTCCATTTTAAAAAAATAGAAAGCCCTTATTCTGTGGAGTGGCGTGAAATTACGAGTTTCTAGCACTATGTTTCGTAAGGGGACAAGCAGCCTAATAGTAAAACATGGCAGGACAAGACCGTACCTCTAATTTGTAGAACATTGTTCTGCAATGATTTTAACGGGGGGCATTTTATTTGACATTACTTTGAAAGATGCATCAGCAGTTTCTAAAGCTAGCGTTACAAAGTAAAAACATCTTTTAAACAGTGACAATATAATTTCTTAAGGTGGGTATTTTTTTTGGAGTGCGGTTGCCAAATTCCCTCAATGGTGCTTGTGTGAGCACCAGCGCGCACTGGAGAGCTGCTCGAAAGCGTCAGCAGAGGGTCTTTCCCCAATTCTAGCCAAGCTTTTCTGCCCCCTTGTTTTATCATTCATTGATTGAATTACTTCTATCGTGTGTTTATGTTTGTGTGATTTACAAGTATAGAAAAGGCTGATGTGTACACCTGAAACTGGATCAACTGCATGCTTTTTCTTTCTTTTTTAATGAGACCATTCAGTGTCCCAAAGATGTCAGCCTGGCATGGGAAGAGTTCTTGGCGACACCTGCTGGATTTACACATATATATGAGTCGGTTTGTCTGCACTAGTTACGGGCTGCTGACATCAGAGGTATAAAGTGAATAGTCAGATAACCTACTTTTATGATAAGATAACAGTATTTGGTGATTGGTTTCCTTACTTTAATAATGAAAGACATACATACCTTTTTGATTTTCGATCCATTTCATTTATTGTGTGTTATAGATGTTTATAGATTGTCAAAAGGTATTTTCTGTGAACATCCAGTCCGAACGTAGCGACATTGTGATCATAATGTAGATGCATGTGATAAGGACGCTCACCCTTTTGGAGAAGCCTACATTTCACTATCTTCGGTTTCGGAGAAGATCTAAACACCAATCAAATAAAAACATTCTGCAGTAGCCTAAATTACAACCACCCATTTTAAAAAAATGACATATTAAAGAAATGACAAAACATGGTTGGGCTTTATACTCTCATATACAGGGATTTGAATATGAACTTTAGACATATAGTTTAACAACCTATGGGCGCCCAACTCATGAAAGAGGTGGAGTTTTCTTCTTTTTTGCAAGAGCAGTAGCAGTCACAGTTGGGCAGAGCTGCAAGTTCCCCTTTCTAGCTCTGACTCAGCATAAAAACACATTTTCCAAAATGTAAAAAGGAAACATTAATAGGGTTTATGGACATCCGGTTTGCCAAGTACCCGTATAGTCTTCTCTCTCTTTATCATGGCTCTCCTGTCGGTCCTCACGCCTGTCCTGGCGGTGGTCCTGTGCGTCGTGATAGGCTTCATGCTGGTGAGGTCACGGGAGACAGAGACCACCTCCACGACCTCACCTGGAGAAGCTGAAGGGGCACCAAAAGCGGACTTTAGACCGTGGGTGGACCAGGACCTAAAGGACGGTACAGAAACCAAAGGAAAAGACGACGGTAAGAGCTGAACAGAGGTCGGTTTTTTTTCGACGGAGTTGAACTTTTATTTGACATGCAGGTCGAAACAAAGTATATGTAGGCTATATAGGCCACAACCACCATCTCTCAACACAATATGAACGTATGTGGAACTATGTGAAAACCCTTTATCAACATGGGCTCAATGTCTGCTGCTCGACACATTCCAATGCTTGGTTAATCAATAATGGCATATGGCCTGAATAGGTATAGAGAGAGTGAGGGACTTTTCTCCATTTCATTTAATATCATGCAATTTAGGAAAAACTGCACGAAATGAATATTTTGAACGTGTGTACCTGGCTTCCAAAAAGTTGAAATTTTTCTAAACTTTCTTAGATTATGAGACAGGAGTGGTGGACAGTCAATAAGTGCAATGTTGGAGCTATCTTTTGTGCTTTTTACTGCACTACATGTATATGATGAATTAAATTGATTTTTACTTTGCTGATTCAGATTAAAAATACAAAATATCAACAAATAAATAAATATATTATACCGTAAACTTTATTCCTCTTGGAAATTCACAAGCTTCCAGCAGTATGTAAAGTAATTCATATTAGCTCAATTACTAGCTGCAACATTAACGTGATGCACACCCTAATGCATCAATAATTATAATTCAATAATCTAATTACATTATTCCAAAGTGGGCCATTCTGCCTAATGAGTACTTTTACTTTTGGTATTTTAATTATTTTTGATGCTAGATCTTTTATTAAATAATTTTCTTTACTTGTAACCATATTCCTACGTTGTATTGCTACTAAGACAAAATATTTGACTATTTTCACTAGTGGACATTATCAAAATTATACTCACATGATGCATATTAATATATGTTTGTGATTAATCATATGAATCAAAAATGATTTCTGATGAATTATCAGTTTAGCCTTAAAGGTGACTTGAACTCTCCAAGAGTATTGAATTCACCAATGTCCTTATTTCACATCCAACAAGAAGTTTGAAGCTGCTCCATGGTCCTGCCTTTGTGCCTCTCATTCTTTTAGAGGATGGTGATTGGGTGGACAGCAATGAGGAGGAAGACATTCTACACGTGCCCTACTCACCACCAGGTTACCCAGTGGAGACGATGCTGGAGAGATCCAAGGATTTTTACACTCTGATGAACCAGAGGAGGAGTGTCCGATTCATCAGTCCAGAGCCAGTCCCACGAGAAGTCATCAATAATGCCATCCGCACTGCAGGCATGTGCAAATTTAAAGAGGACAAATGGACCACTTTCAATCTGCCATAAACCAAAATAATAAAGAAAAATGGCAGAGAGCACCAAATGTTTTGGTCTTTTTAATTCTTCTCTGACTGCTCACCCCTCCTTCCTTTGGACAGGTACGGCCCCTAGTGGAGCCCACACAGAGCCCTGGACGTTTGTTGTGGTGTCAGACCCGGAGATCAAGCACCAGATCAGACGGATTGTGGAAGAAGAAGAGGAGGTCAACTACCGTCAGAGGATGGGGGACAAGTGGGTCCAGGATTTGGCCAGATTTAGGTGAGCACCAATACTTACGCCACACTCACACATTTATATTAATATATTTGTACTAGAACTAGTAACCGTACTGCGCTGATATAATTCAATTCCCATCCCCTTATCCTAAATCTTAGCCCGACTTAAACAATGATTATCAGTCATCATGAACCAATGGAGTGTATAACTACATTTTCCAATTTCATTCTTATTCTTATTTGTTATATTAGGAACATGATCACATGATGTGGAGCACAAACAGAACATACAATAATAACAAAATGACAGGCACGTCTTCCCCTTTTTTCTCCCAACTTCCTTCCTCATGCAGGACAAGCTGGATCAAGGAGTACTTGGATGTTGCGCCGTATCTAATCCTCGTCTTCAAACAGATCTATGGGATACTACCAAATGGCAAGAAAAGGACACATTACTACAATGAAATCAGTGTCTCCATATCGTGTGGCCTCCTGTTGGCTGCATTACAGGTAAGGAATAACATCACCCTCTGAAATATAAATCAGCCAGTCCCTGGTTTCTTGGTCATGAATGCCGTTAAAACAAGTATATAGAACTATGTGGATCTTCTTGAAAATGCATGCAATTACCGATAAATGAACATCTGTTCTCTCTGTCCATGTTCTTATCAGAACGTGGGACTTGTCACCGTCACATCGACGCCCCTAAACTGCGGCCCCCAGCTCAGGCTCCTCCTCAAACGGCCAGCCAATGAGAAGCTGTTGATGTTACTTCCTGTAGGTTACCCTGCTTGTGAGGCCACAGTGCCTGACTTGAAACGCAAGCCTCTGGATGATATTGTGGTCCACATATAACAGAATCAGTCTGTGGGGGAAACACAGAGAGAAGTCTTCTCTTCTTTGCCCGCAGCTGAACAATCAAGAAGATATATACCTAATGTGATTAGAATTATTTTTTTTAAATCATAAAATCATATTTTACCATCCATTTTTGCTCTGTTATGGTTACAGAAACAGGTGTATAACCTTGTACATCCCTATATGGGAGATAGTGGCCACAGTAGTACACATGTTTAATCATTCAAACAAGCACAAGGTCAACTTGCGCTCCTACCAAACAATGATCTAAATGGTTTCCAGCACTGCTGCCAAGAATACGATACAATCTGTTTTCAGTTGTTCGCTCTGGGATTGATTGTGTGATTTGTATTTGTACCTTTAAGTTAACTGATCTGAAATGTAATGTCCTTGGGCATTAAGTGAAGAGTTTGAGTTACATTTTTGTCTCATCATAATGCTTTGCGTTATTTGTATTATATGAGTGTCACTACATGTTTTCAGAAGGGGAACAACACCTCTCAATGAGTTCTTGATGAGTGGGGTATGGTTTGACATCTTTATTCTTTTAGCGCATATTCAATAGATCATTCATGATTAAAATTCATAACCCAGAACCAACCAACCCTGAAAGAACATTGCACTGGTGTCCCCCCTGTAAAGTACTCATGTTGGGGTTTTTGTGGGACCTCTCAGCTAGAATTTCCTCTTTTTACACCCAAAAATGATTGAACAAGGTGTTCACAAGTGAAAGAGGTGGCCATTATAAAGTCCTTTGTTATTCTTAATGAAGTCATCAAGTATGTTTCGCCTATCATCATATTCATTTGACTGGTTTAATCAAGCTCAAAAAGCCATTCGCACCATTATTCACACTTGAAAATTGTTTTATTTGTGAGCTTTAAAAGCTCTTGCTCCTGCTCATCTGTAAAACCACAGAAAAAAATTCACACTCTGATCTTCATTGCCACCTCTGGGGGTCAGTAGCGCCCAGGAACAGCGCTGAATCGACCAGTGAAAAAGACGAAGAAGAAAGGCAACATTGCGCATGCGTACACCACGTACACCGATGATCAAGAGCTATCTTGGCTGGATGCTAGCTGGCTAGCTAACGGTCTGTCAAGTCGCACACATTGGGCTAGAAGGCGGAAGAAGCGCAGCGGTGGAGAAGAAGAAGGGCGACTCAAGCGCCGCTACGAAATGGCCGGGCAGCAGTTCCAGTACGATGACAGCGGCAATACCTTTTTCTACTTCCTCACGTCCTTCGTCGGTCTTATTGTGATCCCGGCTACATATTACCTCTGGCCCCGGGATCAGAATGCTGGTAAGGCCCGAGATGTCTGGCTCAGTGCTAACTCGGCTAACTCATTAGCAGAACTAGTGTAACGTGAAGTTAGCTTGTCTTGTAACGATAAAGGCTCACCAACTGGCACTCTTGTTAATCTGGCTAGCTTGCTACTCGATGCGGAGAGGCTGTGTGACCTAACCCGACGTGTCATTAACTTGTAAATGTAAGCTAGCAGACGCTACAAAGATGATGCCCACGTCTCTTTCACTGTTCAGAGTTAAGTACAAGTGTTAACTCGGTTTACCTCCACCAGCTGTAATGTTTCCAATCACCGTCAATTTGTCTTAACGTCACATTTGTAACATTAGCCTTCTTCGGTGGATAAAAACGAGTTAAGTGCTAGCTTAGTTATGCGAGAGCTTCAACCCCCAAAAACCAGCGTCACTCTCTCTGTTCTCAAGCTTGTAGCTTTGTTGACCTTATCCTGATACACTCTTATCTCAGCTACGTTACAGCTATTTCTTTGTCAACAGCAGAGCATATCTAACATGGGTTACGTAACCAATGCGAGCACACTTTACTCAACTGGTCTACTGGGAATAGTTGGATGACAAGTCGCCATTGATTTTGTTGATATAAGATTAAATATTGCATTATAAATCAGGTTAGTTAACACCATGGCGTTAACAGATACGATATTAATACCTCTGCCTGCTTGGCTAACATATCCACAATAATGATATATTCTCAGTGAGAATGTCACTCACCCATGTTTCACATTCTTAACTTCAAGCACCAGTAATCCTCACCAAATTACCGGTGCTTGATTGAGGTGATTGTGACCAGTATGATGCTACTAGTGTGTCTGTAATCTCTCTCTCTCTCTGTCCATCCTCTTTCCAGAGCAACTGCGTCTGAAAAGCCTGAGGAGGGTACATGGCCGGTGTCTGTGGTACCAGCTCAGGCTGATGAAGTCGCAGCAGAGCATCGTCCCAACACTAAAGTGAGTCACATTATTTGTGAAGGGTGGATTATTACGCTCTTCGTCATGACAGCTGGCCCGAGAAGTCTTGAGTTGGTTGTTCTTTTGAATTATTCACTGTTGGTAGTTATTTATGGGGACTACGTTACACCTAATCCAAGTGCAGCTTCAGTCTCATTTAAACGTCTTCACGTATGATTGGCCATAATTTGCCCGGCACTTTAATAACAGGTTTGCTCCATTCTCCTTTGTCGTCAAATGTCACATCTCCTCTGTTGTTTGGGCATCACTCGTCCTTCCATCCGGAGCTCTTCCTGATGTCTTACTGGTTCTTACTGGTGTGTGTCTGCAGCTGGACAGAGATGTTGTTACTGTTGTGTGTGTGTGTGAAGAGGCAAAAGGACCACGCTGTAAACAGCGTAGGCAGACCTGAGGTTATATGCGTGTGTGGAAGCGCTCGTGTTTGGCTGATGTTGTTTTTCGTGTGTAAACCTCTAAGTGAGTGTAAACACCGCGTTGCACTGTTTAGCATTTCTCTTCACACAAACGTGCTTTCTCAGTGTTGTTTACTCGGTGTGTGTGTGTGTGTGGGTTGATGGAAAGATGGGTTTTCAAGTGAGGTTCAGCGTCTCTGGAGCATCCAGCATGTACATCAGTATATAAGTGGAATGAATCAGCCTCTCGGTGTCTGTTTTCCCACTGTATCATAATGCTGGTGTTTATTACAGGAATCCATCATGTATCTTTTATTTTTTTCTGTTTTTGAGCCGCCCAGACAACTCAGGCCAGTAGAGCGGTTGTCATAGCAACAGATGCTGCAGAGTTAGGCCATAGGGTTTTTGCCATTGTCATGGAAACAAGTTCAACTTCAATGCATAACCAAACAACAACAATGTCAGAACATGTCCCGCCCCCTCTCTCTGCTTTGTATGCAGTAGTCTAATGTTCGTAGCTTTACATCCTGAAAGCTAGATGACATCGCAGATTGCTTCTGCTTCCCTGTCTTAACTCCAAACAGTCTGGTAAAAATGAGACGGGCCTGATGTTTTCCTCGAGGGAGTGCAGACGTACGTGTGTGTGTGTGTGTGTGTGTGTGTGTGTGTGTGTGTGTGTGTGAGAGAGAGTGAGAGAGTGAGTGAGTGAGTGAGACAGACATACTTTTCCTGTTTGTGTGTTGCCATTTTCAGGAAAGCGGCCTTGTTGTTCGGCTGGGCTGTGTTCCTGCTGCTAGCCTACAAGGTGTCCAAGCTGGACAGAGAGTACCAGGAGTACAATCCATATGAAGTCCTCAACTTGGACCCGGTAAACCCCCACACACACACACTCTCACACACACATACATAAAGTCTGCTATATTCTACAAAGCCTCTAAAGTCCCCAAAGACACGTTTGATCTTGTGCGCACACGATATTAGACTCGTAACTTCTGAAGATAAAACGCGAGATAAAAATATCATCTTTCATCTCTTTTGAGGTACCGCTGTATTGTATCTGTTACTCACGCTGTATATATGTGGTGTCGTAATGAATTGTAAGTGTTATTCTGTCTCCAGGGTGCATTGCTGTCAGAAATCAAGAAGCAATACCGTGTGCTGTCCCTCAAGTACCATCCTGACAAAGGTGGTGATGAGGCCACGTTCATGAGGATTGCCAAAGCCTATGCTGCGTAAGTGTCCTTTAGGTCCTCACTTTGTGTGCCAGACAGCAAGAATGCTGCTTTTTTATCTTTATTTAATCCGTCACATTGAGATTAAGATGTTTTTTCCAACAGTACAATCAGCAAAATGGAAACTAAATGAAAATAAACAGGAATTAAAAACAATTACTAAAATCATAGTTATGTCCTGTAGTTGAGAGAGGAGATGTGAGGTAATTTTGAAGAGTTTTCTAATGAATATTTGCATAATCACACATATTTATCAATTGAAAGGCCAGAATTTTGAGGTAATTGAGTTATTTAATTTTTCCACAGTCTGACCAATGAACAGTCTCGACAGAATTGGGAACAATACGGTAACCCAGATGGTCCAGGAGGTGAGTGAAGCCGCCCATTGTTATCAGTTTAGATGACATAATTGTGTATCACGCTATCTTCACTGCAGCAGGAGATTTTGCCTCTCATGTCCATCTCTTTTTCCAGCAACCAGCTTCGGTATCGCCCTGCCGGCCTGGATTGTTGACCAGAAGAACTCAATGCTGGTATATTCTTATTGAATCTGTAATTTTAATAGATAAACCTAACTTGATTTGCTTGAAATGTTTTGTATTATACTTGCAGAGAGCCACTGTCATCAATAAATAATTATATTTTGCTTTCTCCTGTAGGTGCTGTTGGTATATGGACTAGCCTTTATGGTCATCCTTCCTGTGGTTGTGGTAAGTCGTGTGCAATAGATGGTATCAAACAGTTGCCCTCTCTTCTTTTTATATTCCATATTTCTCACCTTTACTCTCTATTCCTTTTTTTTGTGCATCGATGTCGTAGGGCACATGGTGGTACCGCTCCATCCGATACAGCGGGGACCAGATTCTCATCAACACCACTCAGCTCTTCATGCATTTCATGTACAAGACGCCCAACATGAACATGAAGCGTGAGTCTCCCTTCTTGTCATAATATACGAGACTTTGACCAGATGCACCCATGGTTAACAACCAGCAGGTTTCTGTTTATGAGTCTCCGTGTCCTGTCATCTCTTTTTGACTCATTCTGATTTTCACCAATTCTTCCTTCCAGGGTTGGCGATGGTGTTGACAGCAGCGTTTGAGTTTGACCCTCGCAGCAATAAAGACGCCACCATACGACCAACGGACAACATCGAGGTGCCACAGGTGATGACAAACGTCAATGCTTGTGTGTGTGTGTGTGAGCAACTTCCTCGGGCTCGCAAAGATTTGCATCCGTGTGAGGAATTCAAAGGGAAGAGTGTGTGTGTCAATAAACAACCTCTCCTGTCTGTCTTGCAGTTGATACGTGAGTTGGGAAATATCAACGTGAAGAAGAAGGAGCCTCCATTCTGCTATCCTTACAGTTTGAAGGCCAGAGTCTTAGTGCTTGCCCACCTGGCACGCATGGACGTATCAGATGAGTTGGAGGAAGGTAGGACAAGCTACTCTTAAGAGTGCCATGTCCATTGGAACACTGCTTACTGATTTCCTAATAATATGATACAACATGTGATACATGTATATTTGGGTTCCAGATCAGAGGTTTGTGGTGAGGAAGAGCCCAGCTCTGCTGCAGGAAATGATCAACGTGGGCTGTCAGCTTACCATGATGGCCAACAGCAGAGGAGGTACACACACACACACACACACACACACACACACACACACACACACACACGTAAGTCCAGTTTAATGGGAGCAGAAGTTATCACTTTGAATAATATTCTCACAAGCTTCAACCCACATAAGAACGTCTTTGATAATTCGGCCCATTGCCTCCAGGTTTCCATGCTCCTCGACTGGTCACCATAGAGAACTGTATGAAGCTGACCCAGATGATAGTGCAGGGTCTGCAGGAGTCAAAGTCACCGCTGTTACAGCTGCCCCACTTTGAGGAGGAGCACCTCCGCTACTGCATCTCTAAGAAGGTAACTACAGAGTGTCTGCACACGCAGAGAGAAACATAGGTTTCGGTCGTGCAATGGGTCAATGTATATTCTGCCTTCTCTTCTCTAGTATAAAGTTCGGAGCCTCCAGGACCTGGTGAGTCTCAAGGACTCCGACAGACGCAGCATGCTGCGTTTCTTGGGGGAGGAGAAGTACGATGAGGTCATCGCTGTGCTGGGCAGCTTCCCTCACATCACCATGGACACCAAACTGCAGGGTCAGTCCGAACACTCCCGCTTACAAACAGACTCCGTTTGTCCACCAGCCGACCGGTGACACGTCTCCCGTAACCATCTTAGTCTTTTACACGACGACTGAAGACGTCACTGAAGTATAGAGAGAGGTGTATAACATAAAGGGTCTTTTGAGCAATGCTTTAGTAGTTACAGATCAAAGAAGTAGTGATGTAGTTATGTGCCACACCATAAAGTATGAGCACAGTTTCTCTGGAAATTAAGTTTGAAAACGTGTGACGTTGTCCAGTTTACCCGAACTACTAATCAGTGAGATTTTAAATCATTTTCCACCAAAGTATTATAGAACTACACAGATTTCTTTGGTTACTGAAAGATGTATTTCTTTTTTCTTTGCAGTCCTTGACGATGAAGACAGCAATAACATCACAGCAGGGTCTATTGTCACAGTAACTGTCACTCTAACAAGAAAACGGATGTCGGTAAGGATTTGTTTGCATTTGGTCAAACACTGACTTTATCCTACATATGAAGGAGTCACTAGAAACCAACATCTGTGACTCCAATGGATTTCTTTTTTAAATGTTGCATTGGAGGTGCAGTTCCATGGATGCCCACTAGAGTGTGCTGTGGACTGTAAGCATTGTGGAAAAGCATGAATTAACTGTGGCGTGAACTGTGTGTGCAGGAGGTGTTTGAAAAGGAACAGGACTCCACACCTTGTCTATCAGAGGAGGCTGCCGCCGCTGCAGAGGAAGCTGTAAGGAGAACACACACTCTGACCCATTTAGACCACACCTTCACTCTGTTTGGGTCCGATGATTAAAAGCTTAAAGAAGTCGTGACGTGCGTACCTGACCTTGTTTTCTATGTGTGTCAAACAGGGAGAGTCGAGTAAAACCAAAACAAAAGTGTGGCAGAACAAGAATAAAGCTGCTAAAAAGACAGCCAAGTCAAAGAAGAAAAAATTAACCAAGAAGAAGGCCACTCCTGCACCTGCTAAAGCCAAGCAGGCCAATGGCAACGTGGCAGGAAATGTACGTGTCCAATCCCTTAACTATTCATTTTCATTTTAAAAACTATGCTGCGTGCATCATAAAACCCTGTTGTCAATGTTGATATCCCAGGAAGTCGCAACAACAGCAACAGCAGCAGCAACAGCAGCAGCAGTTGTAGTGAAGGAGGAAGAGGAGGAGGCCTCAGACAAAGGCAGCGAGTCGGACGAGGCCGAGGCCGAAGCCAACAAGGACTCTCCCAGCGAGAGAGACGAAGACAGCGACAAGCAGAGTGACACAGAGGTGGACGAGATGGCTGGCGACGATGAAGAGGTCAGAGAACTTCAGTATCAGGGGGCCAGGCTTGAGCATGTGGTGAAAAGATCTAGTTTTGTGACGCGTGTTTCAGTCTTAATAAATTCAACAACGCTCGGTGAATGTAAAGGAAAGGGAAGCACTGCTTGTACGTGTACCCGACCTAATCCTCCACTCTTCCCCGTCAGGAGTGGGAGGCGTTGCAGCAAAGCATCCAGCGGCGGGAGCGGGCTCTGCTGGAGACCAAGTCGAAGGTGACGCACCCCGTCTACAGCCTCTACTTCCCCGAGGAGAAGCACGAGTGGTGGTGGCTCTACATCGCCGACCGCCGGGATCAGACCCTCGTCTCCATGCCCTACCACGTGTGCACGTTAAAAGACACGGAAGAGGTGGGTGTGCCGTTTGAGTTTGGATAACACGCAGGTGGCAAGCTAATGCCTTTACAGTACGACTCTGAGGAGAATATCATATGCCATTTTAAGATGAGATGAGATAAGATAATCCTTTATTAGTCCCGCAGCGGGGACATTTACAGGATTACAGCAGCATAGTGCAAACAAGGATCAAAACAAGTATTATAAATAAGTAATAAAACAGTAAAGAATATTAGATATATACAGTTGTGTGAAAAAGTGTTTTCCCCCTTCCTGATTTCTTATTTTTTTTGCATGTTTGTCACACTTAAATGTTTCAGATCATCAAACAAATTTAAATATTAGACAAAGATAACACAAGTAAACACAAAATGCAGTTTTTAAATGAAGGTTTTTATTATTAAGGGGGAAAAAAAAATCCAAACCTACATGGCCCTGTGTGAAAAAGTGATTCACACAGGGCCATATATACGTGTGTGTGTATGTGTGTATATGTATGTGTATGTATGTATATATGTGTGTGTGTGTGTGTGTGTGTGTGTGTGTGTGTGTGTATGTGTATGTATGTATGTGTATGTATGTATGTGTATGTATATATATATATGTGTGTATATATGTGTGTATATATATGTGTGTATATATATGTGTGTATATATATGTGTATATATATATGTGTATATATATATGTGTATATATATATGTGTGTATATATGTGTGTATATGTGTGTGTGTATATATGTGTGTGTATATATGTGTGTGTGTATATATGTGTGTGTGTATATATGTGTGTGTGTATATATGTGTGTGTGTATATATGTGTGTGTGTATATATGTGTGTGT